TAATGCACTCTTATATAAATAATATTACGTTAGCAACCATCAGAACAAAAATCTACTTAAAATCTTTAGCTTTCACTCTTTAATACAGAAAAATTATGTAGTTAAAAACCAAAACAACTGCGGCGCATCGATATTACAATACAAATTAAATACTAACGCACCATTGTGCGTGCAACAGAAATGAAAAAGGGCCGTTTGTACAAGTATGCGCAAATAAGTAAAACAATAAATTTCCGCGGTCTATATAATATCAATTTTATATCCGAACAACAGGATCTTTAGCATTTTTTATTCTTTATAAACCATTAATCAAAACGCGAATAATTTAAAATAAGTGATACTAATCTGCAGCTACTGCTAGGGGGTGGTGACTGTTGCTGCTTGCTCGTCACCTCTGCTTCGCAGCGATGTAACTGTTGTTTCACTCGTTTTTGGTTTTTAAAAAAAAACAGTATTTCGCTTACTGTATTTTACTTTTAATCGTTTTACATTTATTTCATAGGAAGATCCCGATGAATAATCGCACATATCGCATCGCACAACATATCCCGGTTGAGCCTGAATTTGTGGAAACAATTTATTTCACAACGGAGTCAATTCCGATTCACTTGAACGTTTAATTTTATGGTAAATGTATAGTTTAGGTCCCCCAACTAAAGAGGCCTCAAAAATGAATTTTTTTTTAAATCGTCTTATTTTTACGCATAGATTACAAATCCGTGAGCGGAAAGTGAATTTTTTCAATAATTTATGTATATTTTTCAAAATTTATTTAACACACTTAGTTGTTGTTGTTTTAGCGGCAAAATTCTGTAGAATTCAGATCACTTAGCTGTAATTACCAGTTCAGCGTGTTACACATTTTCTTATGAAAAAAATATACTGAAGAAATGTAACAGTCACAATTTCTTTTGCGCCGCGATCTGTTGGTATGGACGAATATCGGAGATCGTCGAACTCCTTTACGCACTGGCGGCCTTCGGCCGCGCTTTAAAAAAATAACCCTGGTCGGTCCAAAACCGGGGTGTTCATAATTCAATCGCGTCAAACTCCTTTTCGCTGCTCTCGATGATAATTTTCATCACGATGCAGAATATGTGTAATTATCAATATCACAATAAAAGTGCACTAACATTGATATTTTAATATAAATTTTCAGAAACGTTTATGAAGAAGAGGAGTAAATACACCAAAAAACTTGAACAATATGTGATTTTTTCAAAGAAAAAAATAAAACAATTAATTTAGATGTATCACAATTTTTTATTTTTAATATTTTTAATGCATATTAATAATATATTTATATTTTGAAAAAATCCAAAAAAAATAGATATATTGAAAAAATTCAGTTTCCGCTCACGGATTTGTAATCTACGCGTAAAAATAAGACGATTTAAAAAAAAATTCATTTTTGAGGCCTCCTTAGTTGGGGACCTAACTATACATTTACCAATTTTATTTAGTTCCTTTTAACATTGGATTTTATTTCACTTAAGTTTAGTATATCTTAATTTATAGCTATTGATTTCAAAACACTTGTTGCTCTTGTTTCGGTCTGTCAGTTCTCGTTGTGCGCGCCTTGATCAAGGATCAGAGATAAAGAGATGCCCAACTCGTCTCTCACTGGAAATGAGAGCGCAATTGATAAACGTCAAAACCTACTACACTCAAGCAACTGTCAAAGTTCAGTAGGTCTGACGTTTAGCAATTGGAAAAAGAGGGACGGCCAGATTAAAATCCTACAGAAAAATATGTAAACAGAGAGATTTGTGCTGCTGTTGATGATCACTAACAAAAATTGGAAAACAATGAAAATTAAAGAAAACGCGAGATTGAAATGTATGTGATGATATCTTTTATGATGTCATGCTAAGTGGTATTAATTTTCAATTGAAAATTTTTAAAACCATTTATTAATTGAGAGCTAATACATTTATTCTTTCGATTACGTATTGAAAGTTCAAAAATCAATTGTTTAATATATCACAAAATAAGACAGAACAAATGGTTTTTTCGCAAAATCAATTAATTTTATTCAAAATAATCTCCTGCTTTAATACAGCTTTTTGCACGGTCCAAAAGCATGTCGAACGAGTGTTTTAGCCCGTTGCCCGGTATGGCCGCCAGTATGCCGGTGCACACCTTTTGAATAGCCTCCACGTCCACGTAGCCAAAGAATCAGCTGTTTTCCTATATGTGTGAAACAGCCGTTTTAAATAAAAGGAAGTAGTTTAACAATTTGTTTATGAACATGTATTTGTAATGGAAATAATAATGAAAACTTTCAAGAATATTTTCGAAACAAAAGATTATTCTATATTTATTGCATATAATAATTATAATTATAATATAAAAAAAAAGTTAAGGCTTAAGGTTATAAATTTTAAAACATTACACGGCAACAGACTATAGCAGATATCTGTCATTTTGACGTTTTAGAAGTAGAAAGGTCATGTGTAATTATAAATGCCATTCTAATCGTTTCTTAATACAATTGAATACAAGTGTATATATCCGTACTTGTATGTAGTAAAGTTAGTCGCTACAAGCTTCTTCTTCTCATCTCAAAAGAATTACGTCACAAGATGACGGTATAGTGCAATTTGTTTTTGAAACAGTTGTCACAGCGTAAACCGAAAAAAGTAACGGTAAATACTTGTCGTAATCTTGTATTCTATCATTCTTGTTTAAGCACATAGATGACTGCACTACACGACGTAGCGACAGCGAAATTTCCTTGTCTACAAATAACGTCTTAAAGGCAACTTCTTGAACATTTTGAAGAAATCAGCGATATATCAAACAGCGGATATACATAATTTCGATGTTGCCGTACTAAAACGGTTCACTTCAATGAATTTAAATATTTTATTCAAAGTAAAATTTTTTGTGCAAAAAATGAGTAAATAAGTCGATTCCATTTGTTTTACATTATCAATAGTTATTACAAATGATATACTAGAGCTGTTGCCATGAAGTTGTGCTGTTGTCTAAATAACTGTGCCAATAAGAACGTGCGTATTTATATATTATATTTGATAAATGCTGCTGTCGTCTACCGTCTTCAATGTGTTTAATAAACCAGTAAAGCGATCGCGCATTAGTAGAACGGTACGCAACGTAACTTCGTTAAGATCGTATGTTTTAAATTAATCCGTATTTTTTACCCCTAGTTTGTGGATGGCTACTCTGTGATAAAAAAAGTATTGTTAAAAGGTAATTTTGATAAGATAAGATATTTCAAATTTACTCAAAAAACAGTTCGGAGAAGAATGGTACAATTTAGATAAACTAAAGTGGTATAAAAAATTAATAATCCAAACTGTAGCCGTGAAGGACAGAATACTGAAATGGAATTTATGTGTGATTGTCTGACACTTGATATTGGACAAATCAAGATTTAAGTTATTTTTATACTCGCGCAACCTGTTGCTACAGAGTATAATAGTTTTGTTCACCTAACGGTTGTTTGTATCACCTAAAACTAATCGAGTTAGATATAGGGATATATATATAAATGATCAGGATGAAGAGACGAGTTGAAATCCGGGTGACTGTCTGTCCGTCCGTGCAAGCTCTAACTTGAGTAAAAATTGAGATCTTTATGAAACTTGGTAGACATGTTTCTTGGTACCGTGAGACGGTTGGTATTGCAGATGGGCGTAATCGGACCACTGCCCCGCCCACAAAACGCCTTTAATCAAAAACAAATAAATTGCCATAACTAAGCTCCGCAATAAGATACAAGACTGTTAGTTGGTACACAGGATCACATTAGGGAGGGGCATCTGCAGTTCAATTTTTTCTTAAAGTGGGCATGGCCCCGCGCCTAATAGGTTTAATGCGCATATTTCCTAAACCGCTAATGGTATAATAACAAAATTCACTGGAAGCAAATGTTTTAGGCACTTCTATTGACGGTGTGAAAATAGTTGAAATCGGGTCCCAACTCCGCCCACTCCCCATATAACGGTACTGTTAAAAACTACTAAAAGCGCGATAAATCAAGCACTAAACATTTTATCTCTGGGATGGTATGAGATTACTTTATAGGAACCGCGTTCAAAATTAGACAGTGGGCGTGGCACAGCCCACTTTTAGGTGAAACCCCATATCTTGAGATCTGCTTGACCAATTTCAACCAAACTCGGAACATAACGTTATTATCATATTTCTATGTTATAGTGCGAAAATGGGCGAAATCAGATTTCAACCACGCCTATTTTCCAAATAACACCATTTTAAATTTCATCTGATTTTTTTACTTTCCACTATGTAAATCAAGCAACAATGATTGTATCGGGATAAAACTTTGCGTGAATAATGCGTTTAAAGTATGCCACCTTGTCTAAATCGAACCAAAACTGTTCAAACCCCTAAGTACTAAATATGTCCCCACTGTATAATATCAGTCAATCCACAAAGAAATCTCAAACGAGTATACCATTTGGCTTTGCGAGAGTATAAAATGTTCGGGTACATCCGAACTTAGCCCTTCCTTACTTGTTTTTATTTTATTATTACGTTTTTGTTGTGATGAATAAACTTTCTTTCTTTCTCTCCTTTCGTCTTTTTAATATTATATATATTGCAAAGGTATACAAAAAAGAGGATATTTACAACACAGTACAAAACTAAAGGGGATATTTACAAAAAAGTACACATTGAATGTAGATATTAAAGTTTCGTGTCAAAAGGGGATATTCTGCTTTTTTAGAACTATGTCGCTCTAAATGACAAGATCCCAGAAATACTACTTTTCAGTAGGTCTGTAAATATTTCCCTAATATGTAACGTATTCTTATTTTGTTAAAAATAAATTAAGATGTGGATATCCCTTTTTTGAAAAAACACTCCTCATTTATAAACACTTTTATAAACTTAAGAATACACTAGTAAATCATATTTTTAGAAATATTTACATAAACAAAAAATCTATTTTCTTTGCACCGTTTTGTAAAGGATCACGAATAATTAACTTTACCTTAAAAATTATTAAGACTTTTACTGGAGGAAAAACAACAATTCACAGAACAGTATCGTTGTCTGCATGGAGATTACCTTGCGCTGCAGAATGAATTAGAAAGAATAAAAATGTGCGCATACAGGTATATAACTAGAATCATATGATCTTATCATTATACTACAATGTGTATATATATTTCATCAGGTTAAGCAATTCTGGACCTTCTTCGAATATTTCAGATAAATCGGTAAATAGTTATTTCGAAAAAACAATTCATAATTTCCAAGGTGTTAAGAAATATTAATTTAGTTGTTAATGAATATTATTTAACTGTACGTATATGTATAGATGCCTCAGCGCATTGAATTAATTCGAAGCACATCATTGCGCGTTTCGCAGAAGGGCAGTTCTTTAAAATGTGATGACACAACCCAAGAAGCATCTGTATCGAGAAACCCCCTGTGAGGTTACTCGCTAAACATGATCATCAAGCAATAAAGTATATTAACTTCGGAATTTAGATATTTAGGACAGCTATGTAGAGCGCCACTGCTTGGGATATTCAGCATTGAAAGACCCTGATAGTCGTATAACCGAAATACAATGTCGACGAATGTGAATCACATATATGTATATTACCTACTTAATTAATTTGAGTATATTAACTAGTTGTGTTCTGAGTTGAGTTTATAAACAACTAAATGTGGGAATATGTATATATACATTATATTTATCTATACATATATATATGTACGAATATACTTTTAACTATATATACAAATTAAAATATTTTTAGTACACATATTTATTTTTTGACAATGTTCGTTTTATGGTAAATATGTCACATACGTATCAAAGCAAAATATATTGCTTTCAAATTAGATTAGCAAATATTCTTAAAAAAATTGTATATTTATGGCAAAAAAATCAAAACGTGGAAATAAAAAGACACCATTTTAATTAAACGCTATAATGTATAGTATAAAATATGTATTTTAGGATTGCATGTTTACCATAAAATGTTGGATAAGTCCGAAAACTTTTATATATGTGTGTATTGACACATGATTTTTTAATTTTGAATTTTCAAGAAAATGGTTTGGTATGGATTTAGGAATGAAATTGGAGAGTTTCTATAAGTCATTGTCGAACTTAGCACGTAGAATTTTTTATGTTCAAAGAAATGCTTAAAGCTTAAAAGCTTTGTACATTAGCTTATTTTTAAATTTTTTAATGTTTCCATAACCATCTGGGCATTGACTTCAATATTATGGATATATTGTCCATGTTAATTTTATGTATTTATAATTTGTTATAATATATATTATATTATATAATTAATACTAGTTGTTTGTAACACCCAAAAACAAGACGAGTAACTGCCTGCCCGTCCGCCTGTGCAAACGATAACTTGAATAACAACTGAGATGGAAATTGAAATTTGTTCATTTAGGTAAAATCTTATATCTCAGGAACTATTGAACCAATTCCAACCAAATTTGGTGCATAACATCCTGATATTCTTTCTTGAGGTTTATATTTAAAAATGATTCACACAAATATTTGTCAATTGAATGAAATATGAATTTCCATTTGGCATTTCAATGAAATGTATTTTTTTTTTCAATTTTGGAAACATACTTCTGTTAAGAAATATAATTTTAATTTATTTATGAATTGTTTTAATGTTAAAATATTGAGATCTAAACTATTTTATCCTTAAAGTTGGATCAAACAGGACACAGTGTGTTACTAAAATCGATTCAGTAGTTTAGGATTTAACTGAAAGTTCAAAAGCTAGTTATATTAATATACCTTAAAATCATAAAAAAATATTTAAATATTGTATAAATATTGGGTGTTTTAATTTAAATGCTCAAAAATTATTCTTTTTTCCGATCTGGCTACAATAGAAAGTGTTATAAAAAACGGTAATTTTGAGCCACTCTCACACCAGAATAAGTTGGATAAGCTGATGTAATTGTTTTGAATCGTTACACGTCTTCACTTCTGTGCAAAAACAGTTAAAACTGGAGCAAAAGTGTACCAGCAGGATGTTTTAGAAGGGTCGTAATGCCAAGAAAAGACATACGAGGTATGTTCAAAGGAAAAATTGAATTTTGGATTTTTCGCATGCATCCTGGAGGTGCGACCACGTTAACAAGCGAAGAAAACATCAAAACAGTAAAAAAAAAAAATTTTCTTGAAAATCGTCGAATCTTTATTACGGAAGTTTCAGAGGATGTTGGCATATCAATCGACTCATGCCATTAAATTTTCTCGAATGTTTTGGGCATAAAACGTGTGGCAGCGAAGTTTGTTTCAAAATTGCTAAATTTGAGCAAAAGTAATGTCGCATTAGTATCGCTCAAGAGTTGTTAGATGACGTCAACAATGATCCTCAACCACCGTATTCACCAGATTTGGCTCCCTGCGACTTTTTCCTATTCCCAAAACTGAAGAAAAAATTTAAAAGAAACCGTTTTGCCACAATGAGATCAGGTCAGAATCGAAGAAAGAGCTGATGGCCATATCGAAAAGCGTAATTTAGAAGTGGTTCGAGAATTGGAAAAAGCGTTGGTACAAGTTTATCCCTACTTAATATTATAAATGCGAAAGTCCGTTTGTTTGTTACGCTTTCACGCAAAAACTACTTGACCGAACATCATGAAACTTTGTACACATACTCTTGGAGGTGTTAGAATGAACATAAATAGAATATTTTTTATTTAATAAAAAACATTTTTTATTTTATAACAAACAACGTTTTAAATTAAATAAAGAAATGTTCTTGTCAATATAACCTCTTAATCTGGCTACTTTAACGCCATCTAGCATTCCAGTAATGAGGCTTAAGACCGACAGCCACGTCAACATCCAATCAATTTAACTATAATTACCATTGAATCTTGCACTGGAAGATTCGCCCATCTGTAATTTCAGATATAATGGGATTAATGGTAGTTTTATTGGGGGCCGTCCATAAATTACGTCATCGGTTTTTTCAGATTTTAGAACCCCCCCCCCCCCCCTATAATCATCCTATCGTCATTTCTTAATAACCATCGCGGATCGACTATAATAATAAATAGCAGTGAAAATAGTTTTCTGATTTTGTTATTTAACGAATTTGCGTTAAACGCGTGATGGAAAAATCTGCGCGGATAAACGTGTTGCATCGTTCACGTTCGTACTCAGATTGACAGATGCGCAGGCCGCGGGTCCGCAGCGGTGGCGGTGCACGCCAAAGACAAAGGAAGCCGACTTTGTTTAAACAGCGCCGATTTCTTTTATTCTCCGAGTCGCCGCCAATCTTCGTTTTAACACAGTGTCGCATACAAACTATTTTCATAGGTACGATGTTATTTATAGTTTAAAAAAATAATGTAGACATGCCTTGACCTTGTAATATATAAATAAATAAATAATGAGTTCAATAATTAATACCATTAAATACTTGCAAAATATCACAAGAACATTATCTTTCCTTAGTATGAGACATGTATTTAAGTATAAGTATAGTATTAATATGTACTATTATTAATTATGTAATGTTGTAGTTATTAATCAAGTGTTGTGTTTATTAGTATGCTTAGATCTTTAAAACTACGCAACGGATTTTGATGCGGTTTTTTTTAAATAGATAGACTGATTCTTAAAGAAGGTTTATATGTATAATACATGTAAGTACCACGGGCGAAGCCAGGGCGGGCAGCTAGTATTTTACTAGGTGTGCTGGAAGAAATTTCTTTTTAGAAATAATCTTTTTGTACGTGAAAAATAAACTATAAATAAATAAATAAGAATGACGTCAATTTCGAAACACACTCAATTTTTTTTGGGTATGTTCCTTTCAGTTCAGCTTTGCATTCGTTGTCATGCCAAGCTATTACCTCATTTCTTAATATGGCGATATGTCTAGCACTATTGTTGGTGTAGTTTACATGTATTGACTTCGACTCGTTTAAAGTTTAAGTTGAGCATCTATGCATCCATTCCACTATTTGGAGTGAGTACGGCTTAGTTATCAACCGTTCGAAGTATATACTAAACTGTTAGGGTTTAAAATAAACAGCAGTGGAATCTCACCGCCGGCAGGACAAGTCAGTGCCATTTTAAATTCTAAACTTCTTACTAGAACATGTGATTTGATACGTTTTCTTGGCATGGTAAACTTTTTCCTAGATTTTTTGAATAATAAGAAAAATTACGCATCAGCAGATGAATAGACTGACCACGGACAAGAGAGGCATATCAGCAGTGTAAAAACGATTTATGTAAAACAACTTTATTGGGTGGATGCCTCTGGAGCTGCTGTATTCAAACAATACTACAACGACCAGTGTGGTTACCAATGTTTTTATTCCGGACGGCTTACCAAAACACAAGCGAGATACTACACTTACGATCGTGAACTGCTAGTGGGGTACAAAGCAGTCAAATATTTTCAACATATGCTGGAAGGTAGATAGTTTTTCGTTGTCACTGATCACAATATGCTGCTTGACAATAGTCGATCAATATTCCCGGTAGTAGGAGGCATATGAGATCTTTCCAGACTTTTTTACATAAAACACCTGCGTACCACCGCGTCTTATATCTTTAAAACGACGATAAAATGCTACATGACAGGTAAGTGGGTCGAAGTTCTTCCCATAATTCTTCTATATTATCGTTCCTCATGCAGAGATGATTTAAAAGCGACACCCGTAGAAATAGTTTACGTCACCTGTGATTTCCAGTTCTTTTCCGAGAAACACAAGCACCACGTCAACGAACGCGAGTTTGTCGTCTAATTATAAGCTAAGTTGTGGCAAGACTAAAAATGATTAAATGTAACTGTGTAAGAATAAGTTAATAAAGCGAATATGGCAAAGTAAAACTCTCTTCTTTCTTAATTTTTCATGCATTTTTAAGCACTTTGTGCAAATTATTGTTCAATAATAACTTTTAGTTATATTGTGGACTTCCAAAGCATGATACGTATCTGAGGTTTAGCATCAGCAGTTATCGAGTCGAAGCTAGGAGCTTTTTTTTAGGTTTTAATCTAGTTTTGATAAAATTAGAGCTTCTTTAGCTGCATCAACCGTTAAACATCTGCGGTAAGGTACCATGGAATGGAACTAAATGTTTTAAGCATGTTTCTCTAGACAACTTCCGCTTTATCGTCATTGCCCAGGATTCATTGGTTTTTGAGAAGAAGATTTGATCATTGGTTTCCTTATATTTTTTACACCTTTCCAAAGGGAATAGTCTGTACTTGTTTTGTTTGGTGTTAGTTACTTAATATAGTACGAAATGTTTTGGTTTGTAAATTCTTTGAATTTATTGCTGAGAAGCTTAATTAAATTGTTTACTTCTGTTTTGTATTGAGTAAATCGCGTATTTTGCTATTTTTACGCAGTTTTCTCTTTTTCCTTATGAGATCCGAAATGCCTGCTGGTTATTTTGTATAAATGTATTTTTGTTTTAAAATAGTAGTGCATTTCCAAGCCAATTCTTGAATAATTTCCGTAAAGATGATAATCGAAATCTATCAAATTTTCCGGTGTTGCTATTTTGTACATTGTTTAACATCAATATTTTTGTCCAGCATAACTTTAAAATACTTCCAATCCGTAGGCTTGTTAGAAAGGTGTAGCGGCAGCTAGATTTCTTATACTGGCGAGTAGGCTGAATTTAAGTCCAAGGCATTTTCCACCACAAGTCCTTGGATATTTGCCGGATGATGAAAACATCTATTAGGTCAAGAACCTTTCTTGTGTTGGTAGGCCAGTAAGTCGGGTTGGTAGTACACATGAAGTCAGATCCAGTTCCCACAGCTGCTTTAAGGAGCTTTCTCAAAATTGTTTTTGTAACTGTTGAACCCCGTTGGAAGCGTTTTACGATAAAGTCAGCACCTATGATGAATTTTTCATGATGTTAAAAATGTTTGATAATTTGTCTCGGTAGGCTACATAGGGCAGTAATACTTATTTTTCCAATATACCTATATGGTCGTAGCTTGAAATTCGGGAACGCTTATCGTCTTCGAAGTGGTGAATATTGTCTCTGACAACTATGTCGCATGTTGTTATTTGGGTGATTGGAGCAATACGTCTTATAGTTTTTGAATAAGACAGATTTCAGTTTTTTCTAACTGGGGTTTAGAGATATATAATTCGTTTCTATGTTTGAGTAACCATTACGAGTAACGATTTTCATTTTTGTACACCATTTTCGTTTCGCTGTGGCTCTTGTAGAGTAAGACGTTCATGGATAAATCTATTTTGCTCTTCTAGCTTATTAAACGTGTCGAAAGTCGACGAAATATTGCCGGTAATATTAGTAACGACATTCAGATTTGTTAGATTTCCAAGCATATGTTGTTGAAGTTGGTTAATACTTTTAACTATGCTGGCAAATGGGGGTTTTCCAGATTGCTTGCATGTTTTAGTACCTTCCTTCAGTGGAACAGTAGCTACTAGTCCGGTCAATTTACGCCTAAAATCAGACGGAATGTTACATAAATTCCCATAAAGCTGAAACTCTACAAAATTGCTCTAAATATAATTATAAAAGAAATCTCAAAACTCCTCATCATTCCGGTGTGTGCAAAAAAATTTGGACGAGGTCTAAGGTCAAAAAAATGAGTTTTTCGCGATTTTCAGCAAATTGGTGAGTTTTTTCGCAAAATTACCCCAGACCCAAATTGTAGATCATAAAATTCTCTACAAAAAACATATTAATAATTTTTTTCCGAAGAGCCACCATTTTGGAGATATAACGGATTAAAAGTTTAAATAATTCGTAGTCGTCATAATTTGCACACGTTTCCACGCTACCTCCTATGACCTCGTTTTTTTTAACGTGGTTTCCCCAGTAGGCCTATTCCACGGATCTGTTGTGATTTTGTTTGTTTCAGAACTATTGCAAAATAATATCTATTAATAAAGTTTGGTAAAAATAAAAGCGGTGTAATTACAAAAAAAAATTAGCATACTTTATTCATCTGAATCATAATTTTCTAATATTTCTGTTTCCTCTTGTGCTTCTTCTACTTCTTCTCGTTCTTCTTCTTCATCTTCTTCTTCAGTTTAGGTGCAAGTAAATTGCCCCAATAGCGGTTCCTCGTTGGTATCATAGGAGTCTTCTATAATTGGTGACTCAAAATTAGAACACGACCGGCCTTGACAATGTGTACAGGCCAGGGAACAAAACAGTCCAACTTTTTTGCAACCACATTTAGCATTACATCCCTTTTTGCAGTTACAAAATATTGTGTTCAGCAATTTTTCCGGCGCAGGTGGAAATAAAGTTTGAACTGGTTCGAGAGTATTTTTGACCAATTTCCAACCCCAGTCTTTAGGGTCCAGCTGATTACCAAGCCACACTTGAACTTGGTAATATACCTGAAAAAGATGTTGATGAGCAGCTACTGAGGTTGGGGGAAAAGAAGCTAACTGTACTTTTTTTTTGTTTCTAGTATTTTTAACGAAACACGCGTATCGCAACTTATCTAGACATGTAGTTTTTTTAGGAGCTCCGTACATAGCAAGAAGAAAGCGAATTCCGTTGGTGATAACATCTTCTGGAGTACAATTACTATTTTTAAAAACTTCAGCACATTGAAGTAGATCTTGCTTTTCAAACATTTTAAAAACTGTTGTTTTTCCTCTCCTGTAGAATGCAGATGCCGTATCGCAGCCAGTTATTGCGTGTAAAAATAGTACATGATTTTGACACTTAACAAAAGTAGATAAACTTTTAGATGAATATACTTCACATTGATGTTGAGCTTTTCCTGGTTTAAAAAAATAAATAATTTGTTCAGTTGGAGTTCGAGCAGTTAGTAAGACGAGTAAATCAACATCTTCACCAACAACAATAGTTACACTTGTCATGTTAAATAGCTCTATCGCTGTTTCAACAATAAGTACATCAGCATCATTATTAGCTTGCTTGACTGATATATTTTCAGCAGTTAACTGTTCTTCGTGTTTTCTTTTGGTGAGTGCAACAATAAAACACTTTCGTGTATAATTTTTACGACACTCCTCATGTATTGTTACACTTTTTTGTTTTATAAGATATTTCGAAAATCCATCATCTCTTTCAATACTCGCATTAATCAGGGTCTTCATACCACGATTAACAGTTACAGTTTGACCTTCAGTTAAAAGATGAGTACAAATAAATCAAGAATTTGACATTTTTGTTATAAAACTCAAAACAGCACGAAATAGGTAAGAAAAGAGGTTAGGATAAGCACATGTTTTCACAACGGAGTTGCGCACAAGACTAACGGTATCTATTTCATTTATTAGGCACTCTGACATGTATATATACGTAACATACTTATGCAAATTATGGCGACTACGAATTATTTAAACTTTTAATCCGTTATATCTCCAAAATGGTGGCTCTTCGGAAAAAAATTATTAATATGTTTTTTGTAGAGAATTTTATGATCTACAATTTGCTGGAAATCGCGAAAAACTCATTTTTTGACCTTTGACCTCGTTTTGGCACACACCGGAATGATGAGGAGTTTTGAGATTTCTTTTATAATTATATTTAGAGCAATTTTGCAGAGTTTCAGCTTTATGTGAATTTTTGTAACTTCAAATGTGTAAATTGACCGGTATACACTTGGCTTATGCTTTATGGTTGATAAGGCTCTTAATTATTCATAATCTCGTTTTTAATTTATTAAGTTCTTTCCCCACTTCACAGCTCATATCAGTTCGAATGGTGATTTTAGTTCAGCTGATTTTGTGTATCTTGAAATTGTATTATTTCCAGCACACTTCACACACCTTGGTGGCTTTCTTCAATAGTTTCTAGTATGGCCGCATGTTTTTTTGATTTGCACTGTAGTACAAGATTCGACAGCTTGATGGGCTCGAGTTTGGCGACAAAATTAAAAATATGTTTAATTCCGTAGTCTTTCTTGATGTTTTCTGTAAACTCGAAGCGTACAAATAAACATATTTAAGGGATAATCCAGGGAAAAGAGTTATGGTAGAGAAAGCGTCGCAAGTATCCCCTATTCATAAAGATAGAAACACCCCAAAAATACTACGGGAGGTATCAGGCTATTTACCACCAACAAAAAAGCCTAAAAACGTAGATGGTAAAGCGCAGGCTTCATTTAGTGAGGTTACAAAGGTTAGGCAGAAAGACAGCTCAGGAGATAAGCCAGCAGGCGAGAAATGGGTGGACGTGGTAAAAAAGAGGAAGCCGATCGAAACCAGACGCTATTTATCTAAATAAGAAGCACGGAGCGTCGTATGCGGATATCCTGAATTAAATGTGATAGTGACCTTGAGGAACTGGGCTCAAACGAGATAACCACTCCCGAAGCACGATGCGACACATTAAAAAAGAAGTGTGGGATTCAAAATCTAGTGAAAGAAATTGTTAAAAGTATGCGAAAAACCTGCGTGCCGAGGATGCCAAGACCGTACGAATACGAATACTCATCTATCACTTGCTGCTTTAGGTGTTTCGATGTGGGGCATATGGCGCATAAATGTCGTAACCCCATTGACAGTTCTTCCCTCTGTACACGCTGCGGAACCTCAGGACACGTCGCAAAAGTATGCACTAAGCCCCTGAGCTGTAGCTTCGTAAAGGGAAACACTCTGTCTTGAGCACGGCCTGTCCTAAGTATCTAGAGATGAAAAACTTAAAGGAAAAATGAAGATATTACAATTAAATCTTAACCATTGCGCTGCAGCACAAGACCTGCTAAAACAGACGGTGCTAGAAGAAAACGTAGAAGTCGCCCTGCTAAGCGAGCAATATACTCAGCGTTCGGAAATCACTTGGATTAAAAATATAAGTGACAAGGCAGCAATATGGTCATGCAAAGGAAAAACTTTCACATCGTGCTCCAGAGGAGCCCAAAACGGCTTTACATGGACAAATATACAGGGAATATTTGTTGTTGTAAGATGCTATGCTTGTCCAAGAGCGTCAATAAATGAATTCGAAGACTTTCTCTTTGAGCTGTCTCTAGAGACTAGAAGCAAATCTCTGATAATAATAGCAGGAGATTTTAATGCATGGTCTACTGCTTGGGGTAGCAGACGCACGATTTACACAAATAGTGACCACATGGCCATAATTGCTGAAGTTTTGTTTCCCCGAGAAACGGAACCAGAACACCTCTCCAAAACGAGGTTGGAGACAAAAGGAGTTCGATCCTGACGTTTTCAAGACCGTCTGGAGTGCAGCAAAGGCACCAGGCGACGACGCCGCCCACTTGGTATCCGCTATACAAAAGGAACTAGATGCAGCATGTGACGCAACTATGCGCAGGACGAGATACAATAACAAACGAAAACCAGTATACTGGTGGAACGAAGAAATCGCCACGCTGAGGAAGCTCTGTCACTAAGCTAGACGTCGCTTACAGCGTAACCAGGAAGGCGAGAATAAAAATCGCCTCAGAGAAGCATTTAAACGCAAAAACTAGCTCCTGAAGTCAGCAATCATGCGTAGCAAAAGAGGCTGTTTCGAAAAGCTTTGTGAAGAAGCAAACCGCGTACAAAATACGTATGTTAAAATTTAAAAGTATTTCGCTGCCACCTAAGAACGCATCATTGATGAGGAAAGTCGTCGACGCATTATTTCCAACACATGAGACCATTCCCTACGATATGCGAAACGATGCCACAGAGCCCCCTCTGTTAGTCACAGAAGAAGAAATATTGGCTATCGCGAAAAAAATTAAAAATTCCAAAGCGCCTAGATGGTATACGGAATAGAGCCCTAAAAGAAGCTATTCCTCTGAGACCCAGTTTGTTCGCTAAAATGTACAATGCGTGTATATTGGAAGGCGCGCTTCTCAACCCGTGGAAGGTGGAACATTTGGTTCTACTTGGAGTGGCCATCTTCTAAATCCTGATTTCACACTATATTTTCGTACCATTTAATCTGTGACGTCGACATCAAATTTGGTTTTTTTTTATAAAAATACACAGTTTTGACGCTCTACGCTTAGTACTCAATAAAACAATTTTTTGTTGTGCTTACTTTTGTTAACTGTAAGTGTACATTCATTTGTTGTATATAGTAATGTTGAAAAACGAGCCATACTATACTTCTTTTCCCTGCAAATTTTTTGAAGGTCCCGTATGTTAGAAAAGTCGGTACCTTTTAACTTTTTAGATCCAGCATGTAACGTTTTAGGTATGTGAAAAACAAACATTACTCATGGTTCAAATAATAGGGTGTCAGAGAACTTAACATAACAGCTTTTTCATATGTAATTATCCATGTGAAATACGAAGTACTTATTCGTCTGATATTTTGATTTTGTTGAGACTTTGCTTTTGTTCTCATGCCAGATGTATCAGCTTGAGCAAAAAAAAATTAGGATTTAGTAGTGGTATTTATTGGTGAGGACTACTATCTTAGCATATATGCCCAATTTTCGATGACTTTTTCCTACATTTGTGGCCGTATATCGGCAATAACACGGCGAATGTTGTCTTCCAAATAGTTAAGCGTTTGTGGCTTGTGTCACCAAACGTGTCTTTCAATAAATCGATTGTGGCACGAGCTGTGTAATATTTTGCGCCGTCTTGTTGGAACCACAGCTCCTGGACATGGTTGTTCAATTCAGAAATGAAAAGATTAGTAATCAAGGCTCTATACCGATTACCATTGACTGTAACGTTCTGGCCATCATCGTTTTTGAAGAAGTATGGACCAATGATTCCACCAGCCCATAAAGTGCACCAAACAGTCAGTTTTTCTGGATATAACGGTGTTTCGCCATACACTTGAGGATTAACTGCACTCCAAACGCAGCAGTTTTGTTTGTTTACGTAGCCATTCAACCAGAAGTGCGCTCGACGATAAAATTAACGTAGTGCGCGATACGTATTCCGCACAGAACCATTATTTTCGAAATAAAATTGCACTATTTGCAAGCGTTGTTCAGTCTATTCATGATGAATTGCCAAATCAAACTGAGAATAAATCACTTGACAACATTTAAATCGGTCGCCATCTTCAATAGTAATGCCAACTTAAAGTTCTATACCGCGAAAAAAACTCCCGTAACATTTGCGTAAATTTTTGATTTTATTCAAGATTGAAGTTAAATAATTTTGATTAGTGAATTTATTGCGAGATTTATTTGACAGCTAAGTATTAATGCTTTTAGTGCTACATTGTCATGCTTTAATTTAAAATTTACATGAATTATATTAGTTTCTGTGCCGAGCTATTTTTATACTCTCGCAAACTGTTGCTGCAGAGTATAATAGTTTTGTTCACCTAATGGTTGTTTGTATCACTTACAACTAATCGAGTTAGATATAGGGTTATAAATATATAAATGATCAGGATGAAGAGGCGAGTTGAAATCCGGGTGACTGTCTGTCCGTCCGTGCAAACTCTAACTTGAGTAAAAATTGAGATATCTTTATGAAACTTGGTAGACATGTTTCTTGGTACCGTGAGACGGTTGGTATTGCAGATGGGCGTAATCGCACCACTGCCACGGCCACAAAATGCCATTAATCAAAAACAAATAAATTGCCATAACTAAGCTCCGCAATAAGATGTAAGACTGTTATGTGGTACACAGAATAACATTAGAGAGGGGCATCTGCAGTTAAAAGTTTTTTTTTAAGTGGGCGTGGTCCCGCCCCTAATAGGTTTAATGGGCATATCTCCTAAACCGCTAATGCTTTAATAACAAAATTCACTGGAAGTAAATGTTTTTAGAACCTCTACCCACATAGTTGAAATCGGGTGGCAACTCCGGCCACTCCTCATATAACGGTACTGTTAAAAACTACTAAAAGCGCGATAAATCAAGCACTAAACACGCCAGAGACATTAAATTTTATCTCTGGGATAGTATGAGATGACTTTATAGGAACCGCGTTCAAAACTCGACAGTGGGCGTGGCACCGCCCACTTTTAGGTGAAACCCCATATCTTGGGATCTGCTTAACCGAATTCAACCGAATTCGGTACATAACGTTCATCTTTCATTTCTATGTTATAGTGCGAAAATGGGTGAAATTGGACTACAACCACGCCTATTTCCTATGTAACACCATTTTTAATTCCATCTGATTCTTTCACTTTCCACTGTGCATATCAAGCAACAATGATTATATCGGGGTAAAACTTTGCGTCAATAATACGTTTAAAGTATGCCACCTTGTGACCAAAAATTGTGTAAATCGAACCAAAAATGTTCAAGTTCC